GATGTTTCAAACTCTGTTCCATTAACTTTGTACATTGTTACTTTAAGTTTCTTTTTTTTTTTTTTTTTTTTTTATAAGCCTTGGCTTTCAGCCTGGCAACTGCTACTGGTATACCATTTGCTAATTACTAAAGTCCCAAGATCAAGAGATCAGTGAGCGAGTCAATGCGAGTTGTCATAGCTAGAGTTTGTTASATCTTCAGTGGTTCCCTTCCATCCAACAATACAGTAAAAACCCGCGTATAAGAACACCTATTTTGGTAGTTCAGGCTGATTTGGTTCTTATATAAAGGGTTATAATCTGCAAAATCAGCCTGTAAGTGTTCTTAAAATTTTTTTCTAAAAATAAGGAACATACTAGGCTTCCAATAGATGAAATCAATGTAACAGTACATTTTTATTTTGTTTAATATTTTGTTGCATATAATTTGGGTGGATCAATTATGTGTGCAATGAAAAGTAGTGTTGATCTTTGATATCTTTCCATATAAGAACAACTTTCATTTTTCAGGCTGAATGTGTTCTCAATATATAAATGGTACTTTATTTCCTAAACTCAGGCCTGGGTGTTCTTAATCCACTTGTTCTTATATGCAGGTTTTTACTGTAAAGCAAGAGAGAGATGAGACCTTGACTTATAGGTCCTTTCTAAGAAGACGAACCTTGCCTACACAGGACACAAAATACGATATACAATACCAATAAACTGTCATCTCTCTCATGCTTCTTTGTGRCTGAACAACAATACTGGTACACCTATATTATGTACTAAAGAGCTTACCCCTGCRGCTTCAATATTTCCACATTTTTCCAGTTCGCAATACATTAACCAATTCTTGTGGCTATCTAAGCCTTCTTTTCCTCTATATTCAATCACAGCATCAAGAACGAGYGATGATGCAAGAAGCAGCAAAAATGCTGTAACAACAGAGTACACCATCATCTGGATAAAATAGAAAACAATAGAGTTTGTTACAGGAACCTCAAAACATAAAAAAACATTGGTAAACTGGTACATGTAAATGTACTTTCAACTATTTTTTATCAAAATTTTATAAAGAAAAAGCACTTGAACCATGAAATAAAAACAAACTAGTTACTAACTATTACTTCGTATTTCGTGACTAATAGAMGTTATCGCTGAACCAGAACAGTTTATCTGTCATGRTTCAAGTGCTTTTGCTCTRTCGAATACCATAATTTTTGATAAAAATATTTTGCAATGTTACACTTGAGGATTTGATGTTGTCTTTTTCACATCAAACACTTACAGCAAGGTTCCAGTTGATATTGAGTTTTCTGTTCATCCTGATTCCATAAACCAGGAATAAAATAATGACAATAAGCCATGTTGTAATGGTTGCAAAGTAAAAGAAATCATATCTCCCTTTGTGCTTGTCTTGATCTGTTGGTGTTTGTCCTGTGTATCCAGTTAGTGATGCAAATGCTATWAGAAGGAGTATCTACAAACCAAACAAAAACACTTAAGGGTTTAAAATTCTTTCTGAATAACAAAGAAYTTTGTATACATCTAATTATCATGATGAAATAGCTATTATAATAATGCATACAATAGCTGAACTACAATGAAACATGAATGATCCTTTTTACATGTAGTTCAGACATGTCTGTAGTTCAGCTATTACTGTATGTTTTGCTCTGCACTAATGTGCATTGAGCACTGTTCAACTACTTCAGCTACGATATCACTCGGCTGTTATATAATAGTCAATCCCATCAACATTGTTCACTTGTAAATATATAATAAAGACACCAACAAAATCATTCCCATAAAATGTTTTTTAGAATTCCCAGGAAGAATTTTAATTCAAATATTCCTAAGATGAATAGAGAATAAAGACATTTTGAAASTTTATGTTGAATATTCTTGCAAAGACATTTTAAATGTGATAKAGTATGTGTGCAGATGACTTCCTTCTTTATGTCTTTACAACTGAACAATGATAATGGATTGGCTGTATTTATTTGTTGAAATGTGCAAACAATGCAGGGCTCGAAATAACGGCCAGTCAAAGGATAATGTCCTTCTAAATTCGATAGATGACCGGCCAAATCGGCTTTTGAAAGGACAAATTGATTTCACACATTTTTAGACAAAAAAAAACCCAATCAATTCCCAATTCGCTAAATAAATGTTTTACCAGCCCATTAAAATGCTTTCCGATCTTTCTGAATACAGAAACCTCTAAATTAAAAGGAAATAATAGTATAATAAAGTATTTGTCCTTTCAAAATTTGACATGACCTTCCAAAAATGAATTTGGAAGGACATTTTGTCCTGTGTATGTCTGGCTGTTATTTAGTGCTCTGCAATGCGTCTCTAAAAACACCACTTTCAAGCGAAGAAGTGTTGTATGGTTATTTTATCACTTCCAGCTCATGATTCAAAAACATTTCTGTTTTCTACCWACAATCCCAAGTGTTTCTAACAGAGAATAGAAACATGGAAAACACCTTATAATGCTTAACAAAAACATTGTTTAAAGAAATAGAATATTTATACCTTTAGTGCAAAAAAAATTCATTAAAGAACAATGCAAAGCATTCAGCCTGAGATATTTTCTTTTGTTTTTTTAATTATTCCCATTAACACTAAAGAATATAAACATTCTCAATGACAATCTCTGATTTTTTWAATAATAAGTGTACATGATTTGAATACAAGAAAACTTTAAAACACTTTAATTCCATGATGAAAGTAAAGATGCAAATTTCCCAAATGAATTGATTGAAACTTTGCCCTAAGTCACACCCAAACTAAAAATCTAGTGACAAAGTTCAAAACTTAAAGGTTGCTGTGCAATGTTACTTACAATTTCAAGTATTTTGAGTATTCCAAATTTACTGATTATATAGCGAGTGTCAATGGTACCAGTGCTGCCAGTGTCTTCCTGGTGATTATACTGAGGGCTAGCACCCTGATCATCTTCCATCATGGCACAACTACAATAAATAATTATTAATGACTGTTAATTGTTAATTATATTAACAACATTATTATGGCTCAATAATTATAATGTAGTATAGCATAATTTAMTAAATATAGAGCATGAACTTTTGTCTCTGTCCTTTATTATACAGTAAACTTGGTAGGAGGTGAAGAGAGTACAAGTGAGCAAGCAGAGAAACATGAGCTTTTGTGAAAAGATATGGTTATACTCTACAAGACGACATGAAGCAAAAATTGCAATGGATTTATTAAGGTACTCCATATTTTTCTAATGAAATATTATCTTTTATGTCACGATTAAAACAGATGTATAGTCTTGTTTGCTTAGTATAAAGATGTCTTTTGATCTTCCTTATATACATGTACATTAAGGGATTTTTAATCCAGCTCTTTCAAGTAAGCATGTTCAGAAGAGTAGTTATTAAAGTAGGTAAATAATATTCATTGATTTGTAGAATTAAATGTCCTTTTTGTGAATTTTATTTGCAGACAGAGGACAAGATGATGTAACAAGATCAGTATAACCCATGACATCATAATCTAATAGACAGTACAGGGAACCTCTGTATAAACTGAAGCAGATCTATCAGTGAGTTTTGTACACAAATCTACCTTGTACAATAAAACTACTGCTTCAACATGCTCAAAGCGTTCAAGTTATAGAGAGTTTTGTATGCAAAAATAGGCAATATTCTCCCACTTGACTCGAATATATTATTGTTTAGTTTTGAAAGTGGTTCTGAATTAATAAAAATGCTAGTACGTAAGCTTTAAGTTGTTATTAACCTTACGCTTCGGTATATGCTTTCTTTAAAAATTATATTAAGTTAAGTGTTAGAGATGTATTAAGTTTAAGGTATCATAATAATGCATATAGTAAACTATGATGGAAAAGGTTGACAAAGATAAGGTGTTTTTGTTTCAGTMGATTCAAATCAAGCCATCATTTTTCATCTAATAACTGTCAACAACAAACAGATGCTGAGGAAGTTACGCTTTTTTCGCAATCAAAATATATGAAGTTGCCAAGCAATTTTGGCTAAAACTAGGAAATAACACTTACTAATAGTTCTCACCTTAAATTTCCCGATCAATTACAAAACTGAGGCAGTATCAAGGCATMAATTTTGYTTCCTCAATTCCCAAAAGATTTCAATTCCTCTCTTCTTTGTTGTAATTTATGCAAATGACTGAAGTGCGACTCATAAATAACACGAAGAGTTCTGATTGGTCAAAAGTGATTAGCCACATGGATTTACACCAATCAGAATCGATTTTATATTTCACAAATATCTAACTATATCGTACGATACGGAGTATGAGCTGACCAATCAGAAACTTTGTTATATTCAACAAATTTGCATAATAAATCTGTTTTGGAAAATGGCGGCAATTTTGGTCGTGTGTTTATGTTTTTCGTGAGAAAATTCCCTTGTTTTGTTAGGAAATATGAGCTAAACTCGCAACAAAAGATCAAAATGGCGTCTCAGTCTTCTTTTCAACAAACTGCTGATAAATGTAAGTTACTGATTTTGAATTTATGCTATTTTTTTGAGCCGGATTTTGATGTTGTCTTTTGCGCGCAGTGAACACGAGTTTGCCTATTCACGTAACAGCTGAGGACCTCCAAGACAACCCAGAGTTTTCCAAGTTGCTGATGACGCTCTGTAGACATCTTGACGAGAAAGCTGTTAGTAAAGAAGTAAAAAAAGACTTCGATAAGGTTAGTATTATGCATGATATAAACTTAAAGGCTAGATGACCCAACGTTCGAGAATTCTGCAAAAACTGAATGAGAAAACTCGTGCTTTAACTGTGAAATCCCCGTCCTATAATCCAAAGTTACCATTGTTTTTCTATTGTATCATTTAGAGAAATACTAATTTTTTTTGACACTTAATCACGTGTGCAGGCAAAAAACCTTGGATGGGGGTGGGGGTAGGGTACGGTACTTGGGCAGAAGATGACACAAAGGACCTTTAAAGAAAGCAGAGGACATAGCCTGTGCTAAGTTTATATAAGAGGAAGTGGAAGTTGTTGAAGACTATCAAAAAGACTCAAAGTTGTGCTTGTTTTGGTAAAGRTTTAAACCCATTGGATGTTAAGAATTATACTAAGAAAAGTATGTTCATGATACCAGACAAACTTTTGCAATGCAAATAAAACTCTAAATAATGGAATTGGATGAGGGATAGGAAGCCCAAACCAAGGAACAGCTGCTAATAAGACTATAGCTCAAACCTTTATTTGCTATCACATCACCTAGGCTCATGAGGACTTACAAGAAAAGAAAAGAAAATATCTTCAAGTGCATACTCTATACTCAGAAATAAAGGACATACTGGCTGAAAATGAAGTTTCAAAGCAAACAAGAAGTGTGTCTAGCTCTACAGATCAGGTAATTGATCCACTAGAACCTTGTTTTGAAAGGAAACAAACTAGACTCCATAGCTGTCATAGCATGTAAAGCAACCAAGGGATCCTCTATGTACACATGCATTAACTTACACACATCACTAAAACTTTCATCATTCTCTATTTACAGTCAACTCTAACTATTACAGACACCCTCGGGACCRTAATTTAGTGTCCACAGTACCGAGAGTCCATAATAAYGAGAGTTACTTTCAGTCATTTCTTTGTACTTTTAGCCTGGATTCAGTATTTTACTGTCCACAATATCGAGGTGTCCGTTGTAGCAGGGTGTCCGTAAGACGAGAGTTGACTTTATAATAATATTCTCTTACAAGCACTCCCTCCTCTTACTATATTCTTGGCATGCAGGTTACGTCATCACCGCCATGTTGGATGAAGATCACAAAGCATACCTCTTTAGTTTCTCTTGTTCATTCATCCAACATGGCGGCGATAACTGTGTTCATTATTTCTCAGGGGATTCTTGGTCACGTGGTTGCACACCAAGAATACAGACTGTCTTTACAGACTTGACGCTTGTTATCAATAAGTACACCAATAATCTGGGTAGAATAATACTGTCAACTGCCACAACCAATATGCCTTTTTTGAAAGAGCTTTCTTCATTGCATTGTGGTCTAGATTCAATATGAACATYTTTTGTTCATGCAGCCAAATATGGTGTTGCTTGTACTGAAGCTAGASCACAATGCRCCATGATTTTGTATTTCAAAAAGGGTCTATGTCATWCCATGTGAGTCTTTTAACCAACTTTTCCAAGAAACTTATTCATTATTACCCATTAATACTCCATGTAAATCTAGAGGTATAATTTGCTTGATTGTTATTATTTAAGGTATATGATGCTCTTCAAGCTGCCATTTCCAGTGCTGAGGCTGTAGAATACCTGGATTTTACACCTGAAAGTGACAGGGAAGTGACACTACTTGGTCTAAAGKCAGATCAATTATTACTGACAAGCGGTGGACACTTACGCAACCAACAACAGGTAAAAAGAGTAAATTCATTTTAAATGCACAAAATAGGTGTGAAAATGTGACTGGTKAACCTCCATGTTTCATTGAAATCATAGGGCTTTGTCCCTGGTGCAAATCCTAGACAGAAGGATCTTATTTAGGATCTTATTTAGAAATGGGATCCAAAATAGGATTCTAACTTATCCTTAGCAGGATCCTGCATAGGAATAGGATCTTCAAGGGATCACATTCTTATGTAAGTGTAAGATCCTAATTACTAGAAATAGGATCCTCTAGGATCTTGAATAGGATGTTATACAGGCTACTGACAAGATCCTGGTTTGTATCGTGTCAAAATCCTGTAGGATTCTAGCCAGGATTTGCACCAGGGATTATATTAAGGTATTTGATTTTGATTTGATTTGATTTTTTTTTGTTCCAGTCATTCCAGCAACATGTTATACCAGAAATAGAATCCCGCATGAAGTCCAAATGTGAWATGCTTGTTGGTGTACATAATCCTGCCAACGAAAATGGTAAATTAAACAAAAAATATAAGTAATAGTATTACTTGTTTTCTTAGTGAGTAATTTTTCTGTTTGTCCAATCATTTCATATTTTACCACAGACAGTGGCGGCTTGTCATTTGCCAAAGCAGGTCAACTTCCAGCTTTACTGTCAAAAGAGAAGAAAACACTAGAAGATGAAAAGAGATTGCTKAAACAAGACCAAGTCTTGATAGACTTACAATTCAGACAATATTATAAGGTATGCTTGATATTTCTATTTTCAGATTAAAGATTGACTTCATAGCACAAGATAAGCAAACTGAATAGTAAAGTGGTAACTTCCCCACCCCTCCCCTACAAAGAAAAATSATTTAACCCTAGAGGGGAGGGGTTGATTGCTCAATGAGAATAAACAATGAGCATATTTCAATAGATGCTGTTGGGAAAATGGCRATWGTGAAAGGGAGACTGCATAACCAAAAGCGATTATGGTTATGCTGTTTTGACAAACAAATTTTTTACTTATTCGATTCCCCTTACAAAGGAATGAAGCCTGGGTGGTACTCAATAATTAGTTGTTTGTGCTTAATAACTTTGGTTAAACAAGTATGCCTAATTTACAAAATGCTGTACATCAAGAACAAAGAACCAYYTCTGAATACACAATCTGACTCAATTAAGTCAAAAGTATTCTAAAATAAGATTATCCCCAGAGACATTTTGATATCTGTAATATATTCAATAACATATAAAAGCTAGTGATCGATCTAATAAACTACGGTATTCTTGAAAATGACGGTATTCTTGAAAATGACGGTATTCTTGAAAATGACGGTATTCTTGAAAATGACTCTTGTTGTCTTAACTTGTTTAACCAAGCATCAATAATCCTGGAATTMAACCCTRACCCTGTTCCAGAGAAAATTCRTTGAAATCGATAGCCTGTTCCAGAGTAAAATCGCTGAAAACGATACCCTGGTTGGTGGCACGTCCCCGTATAGCAAATATAGGGGAGTACCTCTGAAGACTAAATGGAGCCAATGTTTACAAAAGACTATCCTACATGTACAGKATAAATCAGTTATTTTCCTTTTTTGAAATACATGTACAACAGTCGTACTCTAACACKTGTCTTTTGAATGACGCTTTAGGCACTGACGCAATGTCTGCAGACTTTAGAACAATTRATCAGCAAGCACAGACTACAAGCACAATCASATTACAACAAGATTACTAGTAAATGGCTCTCAGCTAAATGTGATGCCATGTGCTCCAAGCTGAGGTAAGATTTATATATCACTGGCCTAACTTAGGAACATGAATTTGAATTCTTCTTACTTGGTGTGTCTGCTCACACACAGGCTGTTTCCAGGGTGGTTCTAGTCAACCTTAGCCACCTTACCCAACATCTTTTTCCCCTTAACTCTCCACCCCCTACACGCAAGGGCATGAATGCATGCAGAAAGGGCTCATTGTTACTAATTCCTATATGTCACTGTAATATGGTAAAAAAAGAAAATAAAAGATTAGACATATCAGAATGTGTGAGCTTGACTTATACTACTTTGAACATGATATTCTAGGGTGCTTCATAACCAGCTTATCAAAGACACATACACTCCAGGGACAGTAGCTGCTCTTAAGAAAATAAGGTACATTGAACAAATAGCAAATTTGTGAATTTTGCCTACATGTAAGTAGCCTAACACAAAAAAGACAAGGCAATGTGCCTAAAGCTCAGCCAATTTTTTAAAAACCTATTGTCTCTCCACTGGTGACTCAGCTTTATGAATAGCACCTTGTCTTGATTCCTTTGTGTTTGACTACTGAGGGAGGAAAAATTCTCAACCTGGCTATTTGTGACAGTTTCTTGTGGTGTGACCCCTTAAAGCAATTATGGTAAAGATATTGTTTGGGGKTGAGATTGTGATGGGGCGAGATAAATGGTCACCCTTATTTACCATAGTTGAACCCAAGCTCATTAAATTTTCATTGCATCTACTCATTTCTTTTCTATTGCTATCTGTATATGTTGTAGACTACCATTTTCCCTCTCTCCCATTCAATTCAGGTCTACTTTACTCTCTCATTTTACTCTTCTATTTTCTCACAACACTCGTTTTAAATGTGATATCATTTTCTTCTTCAGTGGGTATCTTATCAATGCTGAGCASGARGAGACAAAAGAACTACAACGAGCAAGCCATGCACTACAAGTTTACCAGAGCGTYGGCATGGGATTTGATCAACTGGTAAAGGAATACACATTCCTGCTGAGAGAGATTGACAACAAAAAATGGGCTTTAAGTGAATTGAGACAAAGCAACAGCCAAGAAGAWGATGATCTGTTTGGCCACTAAAAGGTACATTAAAGTCAAATTAAGTTAATATTAGAGTTAATAGATTATCCACTGAAAAAATATCCTTTGAAAACAAAGAAACWTTTCTTTGCTCAATGGTCTTTTTGGAATTTTGGCATGAGCATAATTTACATTATACATTATAATTCAAAATTACTGTTTTTACAGTGTATTGTGAACTGAATATTCTTTGGGATTAGTAGTAAGACCAACCTTCATATTCAAAATAGTAATCAAGGCAGAAATCAATCTTGAGAGATTTTTTCTTGGTAAGAACTAACTTCCTACACTTTAGATAAAATAAATAATAATGGCCTTACAGTCAACCAAACAATAACCAATTGATAGACTTAATGGGTACTTCCTACTTTCAATGCTCAAGCGCATGTGTACCATCAACTGCACATGCAAAAATTGCAGGATTGCAATAGCTACCTTATTAAGACATATTTCTAAAATCTGCATCGCAAGTTGCTTATGATTTTTTGAATGAAAATCTGAATTATTATTATTGATTATTATATCTAATATTTCATAGTGAATTGAAGTAGTTATTTTATCCACAAATCTATCAATAAGTACATGTTCATATAGTAGATTGTACAGAATGCACATCAAGCAGTTCTTTTTTTGTACATATATACACAATGTATAGTTATTTTGGTACTCCTTTACCTTTGGGTACTCTGTTTGGCAGCTCCTCCTGTGCGAAAATCATTTTTACTGCACTTTTTTCTCTATTAAAATGTAATTTTTCACTTCAAAGTTGTATAATGTGACAACAACAGTTCTTTATAGATAAGTACAAATGTGAGCTATCAGAAGTCTGTTCATTTGTGTAAAGCATGCCATTTGTGTAAAGCATGCCATGCAGTATTTAAATAATTCTTAAAGTATAAGTTTGGGAAATAAGATATATTTTTTAACATTATTCCAACAAGTTCTTTTCGGATAGTGTGTAGAAATTCAGTTCAATTAATGCAATCTTTGCTTCAATCTTTTCACATGTACAGAAATTCCATGTATCTGATTCACAGTGATGCCATGAGAGTGTATTGTACATGTAATGTTTGCTTCATCTCCATATCACTTCAATTTTTTTTGCCAAGCTTTTTATATGTATACTGTAATGTGTACATATAACGTTATCTCCAACAATATCAACAGGGTACATGTACCGCTCCTTACTGTTGGGTCATTTACATGCATGTATATCCTGACAGTGCGGCAAGCATTCCTTTTCCTGATCGTTTCTTTTGAGTTATTCATTTTTTTGTCCATGTACCAAGCATTTCACATACTGTATACTGTACATCAAAGGCAACTAACAACAAGAGCTGTATTTCTTCATAGCTTCTTATTAAATAAAAATAATAATCATATCCATCTTTTTGCCGAGCTTAAAACATAAAGTGCRACAGTCCCTAATGATGCAGTAAGAGTCCAGACAGCAAGTTTAACGTAAGGATTTGGCGGCTGTGCATTYGGTATTGTACCAGGAAGTGTTTCAAAGCCTTTTGCTCTTCTGACGCGTCTTTCACGAAGGACAGAATCAGGTCTTTGGTGGTCAAGGTCTTGTAGAAATTTTGAATGTTTTTTAACAGACATGCTGTTGAGGGAGAAATAATTTTTTTAATTATTGTTTGAAAGATTTTGGTTAATGATAGTAATCGCATTAGAATGTGCAAAAGAAAAGCTCTTTTTTAGACATTTTACTGTATAAATTTGAGTCACCATGCAATGACWACTTACCTTTCTTTAAGGTATTTGTCAGCAGCACTTGCCAGCTTCTCAGGTGAATATTTATCAAATAAGAAAATTGCCGAGACTATATATTCTTCCACTCGATAAGGGAAGTTTTCTGGTATCCTTGACAACAGATGGTGCACAAAGCTCATCTCGCATTCACCAAGCAATATCTCTTCACGGCGCTCAATCACCAACTAGGAGAAAATAAAATATGGAATGGGAAATGGACGAACAAATGGGAAATGGATGAATTAATGGGAAATGGATGGGAAACAGATGAATAAATGAGAAGTAGATAAAAATGTTTTWTTTATTACAACAAATTATTAACTAAGGCAAAAAAGGACTTGGGAAATGGCGTCAAGAACAACAGTATAGTATTTTTTATAAAACAATAGATAAACAACCAGTAAAAAAGAAATATATTGAAATGACTGCGATTTTTGAATAGACTGCGTTTTAATTCTTTTTGTTCAAAATTTTACTGCAATGTTTTACATAACGATTGTCCCTCACCCAGAATGAAAACAATTGTCAATTATAAAATGTTGTGGAAATTAGGATAATTTTTTCACAAAGAMTATTACATTATTGACATCTTTTTGAGTATTTTGTTATAAACAAAAAGTCTGAATCTTCTTGCTAACATTTCTCTCACTAACTGACTTGTCTTTTTTTCTTTCTTTTTAATTCTAGGCCTTCCTTGTTATTCATCTATAAATGGACTTCTTTTATGTCAACTATCATTGTYRWAATCTATTCTTGCTGTTGTTCTAASCACCAAATTGCTGACTTTCTTCTTGGGCACATAGACTGACTACGACAACATAGTGTATAGATGGACAAATGGAGGGAAAGTGATGGAGAAAGGGAGAAAGCACAAATAGATGTATTATTTTGAAGTATGGAATTTGCAAAAAAGGGAAGAATTCAAAACAAAAATGAAGATTCTTTTCTTTTATTCAACAAAATGGATTCATTGACTCAATGGATGTTGACCTTTTCTAAGTTTATGAGAATATAAACCCTCGCAAAATAGAGTACAAACACTAAAACTGTGCAACATAAATACTGCTAAATTATGCTATTGTTTTCTATTGTTTAATTAACACTATTTTGTAGTAAATAGTGTAAAGTATTGCACTTATTTAATGTTTGTACTCTATTACACAATAATAACTATTAAAATTACTAAATGTTAATCAATTAAAACATAGAGAAATCTTGCTGATCTATAACAAATTATTATTCGTTGTGCCTCAGTGTGAAATATGGATGAATGGGATATGGATAAACAAGTGGGAAATGAATGATTTTTGTGGGTCAAAAATCACAGGCTTATGGTAAAGCACATGCAAAGAAAATTATAGCTTGCTACATGCAATAATCTTATGCAAAACTCGCACTTGAGGTTTGACTGTAAGTTTCTTTGTGTTGTGGGTCAAACATCACAGCTTTAATGACAAGTATATACAAAGAAAATTATAGCATGCTACATGCAATAGTTTTATACAAAACTCACACTTTGTAAACCTGCCTTCTGTACTAGTAAGAGGTTTGACTGTATGACGTGTAAATGTATCTTTCGTAAAGTGTACTTACGGCTGCTGCCAGGTATACTGGCATTAGTGGATGTGTGGCCAGGAAGAAATCATAAAGTCTTACAATGGTATCAAAGTCTTTAAGGACATGTCCATACCATGTGATACTCCAGCTAAGGGCAAACATTTGACCAACCTCTGACCTGTTTGACATACAACATCATCTTGATAAATGACATTTGTTTTGGAGTTACATTGACATTGAGTATTTTGTACATTGATGTCAAAATTGTGTAACTTTGTTGACTGATAACACCATGAACTACTACCGTTTCCAAGTTACGAGGAAAAGAATTTTGTATTATATGAATATCATATTCATATTCATTAGGCCATTTACTAAATGAATTATTATGTTTGGCAAAGAAGTGTTTTTACTGACCTCAGCAGAAACTTTTCTAGTTCAGGATCTGCTTCTTTTATTATGGGATGCATGAATGATAACATCTTTGTTGTTTTTTCCATTGTAGCATCCATATAATCCCTGTTGATCAATCCATTAGTAATCTTTAATAATTAATAACAATTATTGATAATCAATGATTGATCAATAATTTAATCAGTCAATCAAGAGATCTATGAGATGACAAATCAATCACCTATTCAACCTGTCAATCAAAACAATCAATCAGCTGTCAATCAAACATTAAATCATATGTCAATCAAAATGATCAGCTGTTAATCAAACATTTGATCATCTGTCAATCAAACATTTGATCATCTGTCAATCAAACATTCAGCTGTCAATCTAATAATTAGCTAAATCAAAACATTAAAAAGGAAGTAAAAAGATATAATTTATGAGTCAACAATCATTATAAATCTAGCACTTGGAAACCCTTTTTTTAATTTTTTTCATTGACAAAACCTAAACAACCAAATCATGAAAATTTAAAATTTCCCAAATAGTAAAATTTTCCAAATAGACTTCATGAAAATTGCAGTAAATTATGATTTCTTACCTTAGCTGATGAAGTGAGATTTTTTCTAGTAAAGCAGTACCAAGGTCCTCTCCGACAACAAGTAATAACGTCACAGCAATATCATGATAGCCCTAAGAATATAAGAAAAAACACAATTATTACAAATGAATAAACATAGACGGTGAAGAATATTATTAACCAAAGGAAACATAGAAATAATGTAGATATTTTGGCCTTCAACAACAACAAACAATACCAAAACGAATTTATTCATATCAAATTTGATCATTAAGTAAAAATTACATGTTATAGATTTMAATAATCCTAAATAATAACTAGACTAGAGGGTTAATGAAGCATATTATTGTCTTTCACACCACTAGACTTTCGCTTACCGCTCRCTTAAATTTTTAAAACATTTCTGCTTCATTCTTGAAATTTCCTTTATTTTTGTGAGTCCAAAGAGAGCCTGAATTGTTGCAAGTCTAATACACCACTGCAATCCCAAATTAATATTAATAATTATAAATATTAGAAAATGCAATTACCTGATAATAATGTAAGTTTGGATTTTTACATAATACTCTCATAATTATTCTTGTTAGT